ATACCAACACAGGGAAACAAGGAAAATGAAGAAACAGGAGACATATTTCCAACAAAAGAAAACTCTCCAAAAATCAACCCAAATGAAGTGGAGATAAATGATTTACCTGACAGGGAATTTAAAATAATGGTCATAAAAAATGATCACCAATACCAAAAGAGCAATGTGAGGAAAAACTGAGAATTTCAGCAAAAAAGATATAAAATGTTCCAAAGAGAAATCATAGATCTGAAGAATAACTGATCTGGAAAATTCAACAGAGGATTTTAATAGCTAATCAGATCAAGCAAACAATAGGTCACTAGATATCATCCAATATGAGGAACAGAAATAAAAAAGAGTAAAGACAGTTAATAGACACGGGATGACCTATCTATTATTGGCAGGCCCAAAAAAGAAAGGAACAAAATACATTTTTAAAGAAATAATGGCAGAAATAGAAAATAAGAATAAACCTAAAGGATATTATTTTGAGTGAAATAAGCCAGACAGAGAGAGACAAATACTGTATAAACTCATTTATATATGAAATCAAAGTCAAACTCATAGATGTAAAGGCAGAAATGTGGTTACCAGAGCCTGGGGGGTCAGGAGTGGTATAGCTGACAAAAGGGAAGATATTGGTCAATGGGTATAAAGCTATAGTTAGTAGGGACAAGTTCAGGTGCTCTATGGCACAGCGAGGTGACTATAGCTAATAATAATGTATTATATATTTCAAAATAACAATAAGAGCATTTTGTATGTTCTCACTTCAAAGAAATGATAAAAATATGAGTTGATAGAATATCAATTACCCCAATTTGATCATTTCACAAGGTAAACATATCAAAACATTACATGGTACCATAAATATATAAAATTATTTGCCACTTAAAAATAAAACTCAAGCCAGGCATGGAGGTGCACGTCTGTAATCCCAATGGCTCAGGAGGCTGAGACAAGTTCACAAGTTCAAAGCCAACTTCAGCAAAAGCAAGTCACTAAGCAACTCAGTGAGACCTTGTCTCTAAATAAAATACAAAATAGGGCTGGTGATGTGGTTCAGTGGTCATGTACCCCTAAATTCAATCCCCAGTACACCCAAAATAATAAAGAGTAATAAAAACTCAATAATAATAATATTTACAACCAACTAAGGGTTCATATATAAAAAAAAGGACTCTCCCAAACTAATAAGAAAAAGATAGGGCTGGGGATATGGCTTGGTGGTAGAGTGCTTGCCTAGCATGCACAAGGCCTTGGGTTCAATCCCCAGCACTACCACACACAAAAAGAGGAGGAGGGATATACCTCAATAAAAAATAAATTACAAACAAGCATTTCACAAAAGAGGACAGCCAAATATCTAATAAACATATGAAAAAAAAATAATCACTATGATTATTTATCAAGGAAAAGCAAAGTCAAACCACTATCCCTCAGATAGGTCACGAATAATGTCAAGCCTCAGCAAGGAACTGTTCCCTTTAAAACAATAGGAAACTCATACAGTGCTAGGGGTTGTTACAATCATTTTAGAAAATTGTTTGGCATTAGCTATTCAAGTTGAACACATACATTCAACAACTGAACCTTCTAAGTATATGGCTACAAAGCCACAAAAATGTGAGAATATTCCTAATAGTATTATCCATAATTGTTTGAAACTAGAAACAATTCAAATGTCCATCAACAGTAAACTAGATAAGCATATGGCAGTATATGTTTCACAACACATACAATACAGCAAAGAAAATGGACTGCAGCCACCCACGGAACTAATATGATGAATCTCACAATCCTAATGTTGAATGAGAGAAGCCAGTAGTACAAAAGTACATAACACATACTGCATGATTCAATTTATGAGAATTTACAAACTATACCAGATGATGGGGTTTAGGGATATTTACTTCCATGGTAAATCTAAAAAGAAATACAAGGGCTGGGCATGGTGGCACACACCTGTAAGCCATGCAACTCTGGAAGCTGAGGCAGGAAGACTGCAAGTTGAGGCCAATCTCAGCAACTTAGTGAGACCCTAAGCAACTAAGCAAGAGCCTGTCTCAAAATTTATTTATTTTTTTTTTAAAGGGATGGGATTGGGCTTGGGTTGTGGATCAGCGGTAGAGCACTCTCCTAGCATGGGTGAGGCACTGGGTTCTATCCTCAGCACCACATGAAGATAAATAAATAAAGCTATTGGGTCCATCTACAACTAAAAAATATTTTTAAAAAGGGGTCATGTACCCTAAATTCAAAAAAGGGGGGAACTGGGATTATGGCTCAAAAGCACCCAAGTTTGGTCCATAACTTCCAAAAAGAAAAAAAAAAAAGTTGGAGGTGGATAGAAGGGAGTAATTGCCATAAATTAAAAATGATAGCTCCCTGTGGAGGCAGGGTGAAGACAGTGCTTTAGTGCTTGGGCAGAGGGTTTGGGGTACCAGCAAAGTTCCAGTTCTCTACCTGGACAGTAGTTACACAAGTATTTGCTTCATAATAAAATGTTAGGCTGTATACTGATTTTATTGGGTTTTTTTTTTGTTTGGTTTGGTTTTGTTTTGAGGCAAGGTCTTGGTAAGTTGCTAAGATTAGCTTCGAACGTATAATCCTCCTATCTCAGCCTCCTGAGTCACTAGGATTACAGGCATGTGCCATCAATGCCCAGCTGATTTTATGTATTTCCTTATGATGTGTTATGTCATAATCATAATAAAAGAAATTTTTAAAGAAAGGAAAAGAGAACATACCTAAATTATTGAGGACCTTTAGTAATATTTTCTTCTCACATTTCTTTAGCTGTCTTGTGTTCTAGAGCAATAGGGAATCGGGAGCCTTATCTAAACAAAACAAAACAAAAACTATCTACTCCCCCTAACAGACCTGGAAGGTCATAAATCACCAATTTTAAAAGTAGGAAATGAGTAACAAAAAGCTCAATCAAGGTCATCCAGCCCCTGCCCTACTCCACACCCATCCTTTCCCTGCTTTTCTCCTTAGGTCTGTATTTCTAAAGACCAAGGAGAAGCAACATGGGCCAAGCCAACTTTAGCCCCAATAAGGCCCAAAATGTTTGTTATCCCTTGAGAACCCTGACCCTTCCTCACTCCCAAGGAAATGGCAGGAAATATGTTTGGCCTCTTTCTAGAGGCCACAGAATGGCCTGGGGAAGACTCTGAGCCTTGGGGTCAGGCCCAGAATGGGAATCCTGACCTCTGAGATTCTAGGGCCCACCACAGCTCTAACCTGCTCCAAGACACTGCTTCCCATGGAAGGGTCTCAGGTGTCAGTACACCCAACCCTCATGCCTGCAAGAGAGGACATCCAGGAAGTAAAGGAGTTCCCAGCAGAGAAATTAGGCAGTTGAAGGTTTCAGTGCAGAGATATTAGAGTGACAGATAAAGACTTCCTAAGTAGGAAGGAAGGGCTTTTAAATCTCGAGCTTCATTACTGATAGAAAACAAATCAAGGATTATTTTCAGAAGGAGCTGAAAGAGATATAAACTTAAGAGCTCATTCAGTAGAAGCTGTTGCTTATCCAAAATCAAATCCCTTGAGTTACTTAAGCTGCCTAGACAGAACGTCATGAGATCAGGCTCCTGACATGAGTCAGAAATGGTCCTCATTCCATTCTAGAATCTGTCCAAGCAACTTCCCTTCCTCATGTCAAAGTGAAAACACAGGTGAACAAAATCCTACTGTAAAAATTACAGCCAAGGCTGTGCTGGATCAGGCCAAATAGACCTCAAACCTCAGGGTAGCTTTCTTCTGTTGACTTGGAAAACATCTTGCCCTCAGAAGACAAGATGGAACAGCTTCAGGTAGAGCCCATGAGAGAGACAACTGTTAGAGCAGCAAACCAGCTAAGGCAGAAGTGCAATCATCATACACACACAGCAGGGGCGGAGAGAGGTAGAAGGCCTGGCAGCTGTGTCAGCAGCAACCTTGACCTCGACAGGCAGCAACTGCTCTAACCAAGACCTGGTATTTGGGGGAAAGGGTGACAATTCATAGCCAGTGTTGGTTTCAGCTTCAAGTAGAAATGTGGATGTGCAGATAATGACTGATCAGGCTACATCCTGGCTCTCAAGCCCTAAGAGCCGTTGTGTCCAGTTTGTTAGCATAAACTATATACTATGTGATCCTCTGCAGAGTTGGGCTATCTTACTTTTTCTTCCTTTCTCAAACATTGCACTGAATATCTTAGAAAGTGCCAGGCACAGTGTTGAATTGGGGGTAGGAAGACAGCAACAGCTACTTCCTATTCTCAAGAGACTCTGGGGCAAACAACATGCTCCCCAAAGAGCTTACACTCATCCCGAGTTTACACCTAAAATAAAGAAACCCTCATCGAGACATGCCTGCATGCCAGCCTATACAAATGCTAAATGTCTATTTCTGTCTTTCAAGTTTCAATACATTCCTTTTCAGTTAAGACACAGATGGGAGCTAAAGGGTGACTTATGCCATCAGTATCAACACTGAGTACAGCTTCTGGTCTATCCAGAAGAAGGGAGCAGATCATACACACATGAATAACATACATAAATGCTGTAAGGTTCAAATGTGGGTCTTCAGTCCTTTGTCCAGCAGATGCCTCTGTGACTCCAATAACATTTTTAATTAATGTATAATCTGAAGCTCCAAAAGTCAAATGCTGCTTGATGGCAGCACTGGAACTTGAGTGACAAAGACTGGGAAGTACCTAGGAGATCTAGATCCACTAAAGGGGGATGAGCCTCCAAGTTGAAAAGGCTCCCATCCCAGACAATAGGGAGTCCAGGATGCTAGGAAGAGCACATTGAGCAGGTCCTTTCCTTTGCCATCCTACTTTGTTTCAGTTTCAATTTTATTGGAAATTGGAGCTAAATAAGGATTTAAAATATAGGTGGCGTTCTTATAGACAAAGTTCTACAGCTAAGAGGGAATGATAGCAAGCGGATCAAGTTTGTTTCCTCTCCCAGACAGCACTGACCTCTGTCACCACATTACTACTAAAATGAAACACAATTATAAAATCCTGGAATTATATCTTGGATTTATTTTTTAAAATCTTATTCAAAATATTAAATAGTACGATTTCAAATATGAAAAAAACTACTGCAATAAAACAGTTTGGGTGTATTTCCATCGTGCTTCCTTTCCTCATTGGGGCAGTCAAGTGTCCAGCCAAGAGGAAGGATGGACGGTGCTGCTTCTTCTCTCTCTACACAAAGCACATGAATGTGGCTCGCCCGGGCCTTGTTTAACACATAGTAGAGGTGATGCTTTCTGAAAAGTTGTAGTGACACTTGTAAGTCAAACATGGTTCAAATCACTTATTTACATACTGATCAATTCTTTGTGATAGAAAGACAGACTCAAAGGAAATACAGTAAATAACTTCCAGTTGCTATAAAAAATAAACAAACAAGAAATAATTTCAAATAATTACAAATAATTTCATTTTTTTTTAATATATTTATTTATGTATTTATTTTTTAGTTTTCGGCAGACACAACATCTTTGTTTGTATGTGGTGCTGAGGATCGAACCCGGGCCGCACGCATGCCAGGCGAGCGCGCTACCACTTGAGCCACATCCCCAGCCCAATTACAAATAATTTCATTCAGGCATAATTTTAATTTGAAAGACTGAGATACAGTCTTATTTAAGTGACAATGGGCCCTAAAATTTACTCAAACTTACTATACAATAAAAACCAAAATGAACAAATGATATAATTTTAAACTCTGCCCACTGCTTGAAATTTTTGAGGAACCTGTGGTTCAATCAACTGCTAACTAAAAGTAATTCTTCGTCTATTTAACATTTTACCAATTTCTACCTGTAATTTAATTCAATAATTCAAACCAAAAAATGATATCTATATAATATTTTATCTACAATCACTGAAAATTCAGTCTCTTCTGCCAGAATTTTTAGACACATTTAATATGCTACCTAAAACTGTAGTGGGATTGAGCAGTCTCATTATCTTAAACTGTATTTTAATTGCCTAAAATACACAAAGCAATTTTCTGTAGAGAAAAAAGTGTGTTACTTGAATGCAAAGTACTATTACAAATACCCTTGCATATTTTGGCTTGGGACCGCAAAGTAATGTGTCTTTAAAAAATAGTACCTGGATGGCAGAGAATGACTCTAAGTCAATAGTACTAACTATGTTAGAATTTAGTTACAAGTCTGGGATCTTTAAAAGTAGCATTACTTCCAGAACAAGTACAATGAATGGAAAATAACAAAAACTACCAGTGTAAATGTAAGGTAATGCTTAACTCACATTTCAGACAACACCTGATTTAATTCAGCTCTAAAAATGTAGATTTAAAAATCACATACTCCCTGTTTGTGACATTCAATTTCCAAAGCACCAAGGCAAAAGAGAGACATGCGCCTCTCATTTAAGTACCAACTGCCTATGGCAAACAACTGCACAATATCATATAAAAAGTCAAGCAAATAAAATTATATAATGAGCAAACTCAAATCACAGTGCTTTAAAAAATATAATCATTGGTAATCTTCAGAGAAGGCATGGCCTCATTAACGTTCTGGTCTAGACGATGATATTCCACTGTTTTGGAACAAAGGCCATCACGCCATTTCCTGCTTTGAACTAGGAGGAAAATCTGGAATAAAAAAGAAAATTAATTAGATGTACAAAAGAGAAAAAAGATATAGTAAAAGTTTTTATAACAAGTGAAATCTCTCTCTCTTCAGTTCCCAAAACTAAAATATCAACAATAAAAAAGGCTATTTTGTTTTTTCATCTTATAAACAAGGTCAGACAGTGCTTCTCAGATGTCAATGGACACAGGAGTGACTCTGATTCTGGGGCTCTATTTTTAGCCTGAATTAGGAGCTGAGATGGAGCCCAGTAGCCTACTTTTTCACAAGTCCATTAGGAGTTATAACAAAGATAGTCCAGCACCAAACATTAGGGTACAATATCACTAGCATTCAAAAATCTGTCTATCTACAAATTCAAAGCCAGTGATAGGTCAGTAATGACAAATAACCTGAGGGTTAGTTTGTTTGCTATTTTCTTTCTTTTTGGGGGGCCGGGGGGTGGGGTAGGGATGGTAACCAGAGATTAAACTCTGGGGCACTTGGTCACTGAGCCACATCCCCAGCCCTATTTTGTATTTTATTTAGAGAAGGATCTCACTGAGTTGCTTATCGCCTCACTTTTTTGCTTGCTGAGGCTGGCTTTAATCCTCCTGCCTCAGCCTCCTAATCCACTGGAATTACAGGCATTTACCACCACGATCGGCTTTCTTTGCTACTTTCTATCATTAGATTAACTGATTCTCAAAGTTATAAGCATTTTGAAATTGTCTGGCCCAATTTTGTCATTTCTTGGATAAGAAAATGAAGCTCAGAATAGGAAGATGACTTTCCAGGAATTAAAAGCAATAGTCAAGAACTGAGATTTCCTGACCATTAGTATTAAAAAGGAAATTCTGTGTTTGATCTCTCTTTGAGTATTCTGAAAAGCTCAACTCTTCAGCCTTTATGTATGGTACAGAGATGCACTCTTATATTAAATCACCCAGCCAGTGTTTTAGCATAGAAATGTTTGTTACAATATTATTTATGAACCAAAAATTGGAAATCATCTAAATGTCCAATAGGAAAATGGCTGAATCAATTATACAGCTATCAAACAATGTTTTTAAAGAATATTAATATTATAGAAAATGGTCAGGATTTGTTAGGCAAAAAGCAAGATAAAAAAATATATAAAATTCATTTAAAATTTATACACATGTATGTATGAATTATATATACACTTATAGATCAGAAATATTCCAAAATGTTAATACCCTTGGATAATAGCTTGAATTTTATTTTCTAAACTCATGTTTTCTGAATTTCCTAAAATAAACATTAAATACTTTTAGAGCCAGTGTGAGTACTATTTAAAAAAAAAAAAGATTATAAAATCATAGTACTCACAACTGAGATATCAATGCTAAATGACGACATAAAAATTTAAAAAAAAAAATTTTTTGTAACATGTTACAACAGCAACTCAGGAAGCTGAGGCAGGAAAATCACAAATTTGAGACCAGCTGTGGTAACTTATTAAGATCCATTTCAGGGGCTGGGGATTTGGCTCAAGCGGTAGTGCGCTCGCCTGGCATGTGTGCGGCCCTGGGTTCGAGCCTCAGCACCACATACAAACAAAGATGTTGTGTCCACCGAAAACTAAAAATTAAATATTAAAAAAATTCTCTCTCTCTCTCTCTCTCTCTCTTAAAAAAAAAAAGATCCATTTCAGCCAGGCATTTAGCACACACCTATAATCCCAGCAGCTTCAGAGGCTGAGGCAGGAGATTCACAAATTCAAAGACAGCCTCAGCAACTTAGGCCCTAAGCAACTTAGCAAGATCCTGTCTCTAAATAAAATATTTTTAAAGGGGCCAGGGTTAAGCACCCCTGGGTTCAATCCCCAGTACCAAAAAAAAAAAAACCACCCTGTCTCAAAATGAAAAATAAAAAGGACTGGGGATAAGGCTCAGTGATATGGCACCCATGGGTTCAATACCTAGTACTGAAGAGGAAAAAAACAAACAAAAAAATATTGACCTTGCGTTTTACTCATTAAGAAATAATTTGACACCTTTTTTTTAAGAAACACATACAAGTATTCTGTCTGTAGTTTGTTAAAATACACCACAGATTTACAAATCAATTAGACAGCTTGATATTTTACCAATTTAAACTAAAATATAATTGATAAGAAATATAACTGAGCTAATAATACACAACGAGGCTGAAAAATCCCCCAAACTTACCTTCCTTTTATTGTGATATGTAACATAAACAATTGCAATACAGAAAGCAAAAAAAATAAGATGAAAAAAGAAATGGCTGTCTTCCTCTTCAACATTTGAGGATGGGGCCTTAAAAGATTTCACTGACTGTTCAATTTCCATGTAACCCCTGTTTTCTTCTAAAGTCTCATCGGACTCATCCCTGGGGCTGGTGGTCCAGTCATAGTCTGGTTCTACATAATCTCCATTGTCCATAGTGTCTTTGGCTGTAGATGGAGAACTATTCAATGAGAGAAGATCCTCCTCCTCCATGCTCGGATCTTCATTGTTATCAGCTTCCTCTTGGGACAGAGAAGTGGTAGGGGAGGGATGGGGGGCTGCAGATGCTCTTCTACTTTTCTCTGTACTGGTTGCAGGAGGGAGAGTGGTACTGATATGGGAAATAGAAGATTTGATCAGGTTTTCTTGTGTTACAGCTTTCATATTTGAAGTAGAAATATGTGAGCTTTGTACAGTTTGGTCCGGTGATTCTGTTAGTGAAAGAGCTGAAATAAATGAAGAAAGCCATTACCTTGAAATCTCCAACTCATCTCTACCAAGCTAAAAGCAATATTTAGTTCAATTTTTAATTAAGCATTACCCTCTGCTAAATTCTTATAACTTTCTCTCAAGAACTAGTTATTAAGTCTCAATAGCCAGCAATCAGTTATATTTCTTTTAAGTTAATTATTCATCAGGTAAAACAATTGCTTTGCTGGGTAGTAACAATTTAAGTAGCATAATGAACCCACTGTGGCATAGCCCACCACTGAAAGAAAACAGTGGGATCTGACTTTAGGTCAGATGAAAAAGTCCACATACAGCCCTTACCCATTCCTGCTAGCTTCCGTTCAGGGAGAGGCTAGACTTCAGTAATCTTTGTCCAGGCTCCACCCTATCCCCAGAACAGAGAGCTGGCTAATCATGGGTCAAGAAGTCACAAAAAAGATATGTAATTTGGAAACTTAATACTTGTAATATAACTAATTTAAGAGAAGATATGAGCAAGCTGTCCAGCATTCCTAAGTGACACTTGAACTGGAAGACTCCCTCATTCAGAGTTTTTAAAGTACCCACAGAAGAAAGAAAGGGAAAAGTCATAAAGGACAAAAATTAGAAACTGGAACTTGAAAGCTCAGTGACAGCTTTGTTAGACTATGATAATGACTGGGGAAGGGGCAGGATCTGTAACTCAGTGATAAAAGCACTTTCCTAGTATGTGTGAGGCCCAGAGTTCAATGTTCAGCACCTCACAAACACACCAAAAAAAAAAATATTTACAGCCTGGCGCAGTGGCACACACCTGCAATCCCAGTGACTCAGGGGGCTGAGGCAAAAGGATCCCAAGTTTGAGGTCAGCCTCAGCAATTTAGTGAGGCCCTAAGCAAATCAGCAAAACCCTACCTAAAAATAAAAAAAGGCCTGAGAGTGTAGCTCAGTAGAGTACCCCTGGATTCAATCCCCATATGAAAAGAAGAAGAAAACAAAAAGTATTTACAAAGACTGGAGGAGGCAATCTAGGTATAGGAAATGATATCTAGTAGACACCAATTCTCAGTTCCCTGTGGTGCTACCTACTCAGCATGGTTTAGAAAATTATTTATGTAAGTAACTATATAACAAGAAGTATTAATAGAGGCAGATTCAACTGAGGAATTCCTGTTGAAATTAACCAGTGTTTCTAATACATAACTGAATGTAGAATTTGTTGAAGACCTTCGAGGACATCTATTATGCTTTTTTTTTTTTTTAAAGAGAGAGAGAGAGAGAATTTTAATATTTATTTTTTTTAGTTTTTGGCGGATACAACATCTTTGTTTGTAAGTGGTGCTGAGGATCTAACCAGGGCCACACGCATGCCAGGTGAGCGCACTACCGCTTGAGCCACATCCCCAGCCCTATTATGCTTTTTTTTTTAAAAAAAAGGCTTGTGGGATATAAATATATTTAGATAATATTTTAAAGCCTATCAAATTAAAATAAAATATTTTATGGGGATAAGATTAAACCAAGCCACACTAGGCCTTTCACAAACGTGTGCATGTACAGACAATCCTTTATGTGAATATATTTGTTTACTTAATACAGTTGATATCTATTTCATGTAGCTGGTTTCAGCTAGGATGAATAGTATCTCCCAAGAAAATAATTTAATAAATTATTTTAAAAAGATTAGGGCTGATGGATGTAACTCAGTTATAGAGCATTTGCCTAGTATGTATGTGCAAGGTCCTGGATTGGATCGACAGCACTGAAAAAAGTAAAAAAAATAAAATGATAGTAGCCAGACATGGTGATACAGACCTATAATCCCAGCTACTCAGGAGGCTGAAGCAGGAAGATCGAAAAGTTTAAGGTTAGCCTGGGCAACATAACAAGACCCTATCTAAAAATAAAATTTTTATTTTTTTTATTGATTTTAATTTTTAAATACATGACAGCGGAATGCATTACAATTCTTTTTTTTAATATTTTTTAATATTTATTTTTTTAGTTTTCAGCAGACACAACATCTTTGTTTGTATGTGGTGCTGAGGATCGAACCTGGGCCACACGCATGCCAGGCGAGCGCGCTACCGCTTGAGCCACATCCCCAGCCCTACAATTCTTATTACACATATAGAGCACAATTTTTCATATCTCTGTTTGTATATAAAGTATGTTCACACCAATTCATGTCTTCATACATGTACTTTGGATAATGATGTCCATCACATTCCACCATCATTGCTAACCCCCTGCCCCTTCACTTCCCCTCCCACCCCTCAACCTATCTACAGTTCATCTTTTCCTCCCATGCTCCCCCTCCCTACTCCACTATGAGTCAGACTCCTTATATCAGAGAAAACATTTGGCATTTGTTTTTTGGGGATTGGCTAATCACTTAGCATTATCTTATCCAACTCCATGATTTTATCCTCTTTTATTGCTGAGTAATATTCCATTATGTATATATGCCACATTTTTTTAATCCATTCATCTATTGAAGGGCATCTAGGTTGGTTCCACAGTTTAGCTATTGTGAATTGTGCTGCTATAAACATTGATGTGGCTGTGTCCCTGTAGTATGCTGTTTTTAAGACCTTTGGGTATAGACCGAGGAGAATAGCTGGGTCAAATGATGGTTCCATTCCCAGTTTTCCAACAAATCTCCATACTGCTTTCCATATTGGCTGCACCAATTTGCAGTCCCACCAGCAAGTGTGCCTTTTCCCCCTACATCCTTGCCAACACTTATTGTTGTTTGTCTTCATAATAGCTGCCATTCTGACTGGAGTGAGATGATATCTTAGAGGAGTTTTGATTTGCATTTCTCTAATTGCTAGAGATGATGAACATTTTTTTCATATATTTGTTGATTGATTATATGTCATCTTCTGAGAAATGTCTGTTCATGTCCTTGGCCCATTTATTGATTGGGTTATTTGTAGGTTTTTTTTTTGGGGGGGGGAGGGGGGTGCCTAGCTTTAAAAGGGGGATGGGAATATAGTTCAGTGGTCATGTACTTGCCTAGCATGTGTGATGCCCTACATTCAACCCCCCGTGCTACAAAAATAAAAATAAAGAAAGAAAATAAAAAATTAAACTCTCTTAAAACATTCTCAGTTATTGGGTTCCTTGAAATTGTTTACTAGAAGAAAAGAAAAATAGGGGCTGAGGCTGTAGCTCAGTGGTAGAGCACTTGTCTTGCATGCGTGAGACCCTGGGTTCAATTCCCAGCACCACATAAAAATAAACAAATAAAGATATTGTGCCATCTACAACTAAAAAATATATTTAAAAAAAGAAAGAAAAGAAAAATAGGACCTCTTGCAGAGTACACAATTCAAAAACTATTAAACAGGGACTTCTAAAAAGAATTTTTACATTCATCACTTCAACTTAGTTAAGTTCAGGTTATACATTACTATTTCTATAATGCATTTAACTTTTGTCCCAAAGTATAGCCAGTCATGTTTTTAAATAAAATTAAAAATTCAAATAACTGAGAGCCAAGTAATTAACCATGACTTTCAAAACAATTGTTATTCTACATCTGACTTTTTGGATACTCATTTATGTCTAAAGAACACAAGCTGATACCTGGGGGAATGATTATAAAGAAAGTCTCCATGGAGCACTCTAGAATTCACAATCCTCAGCAGATCTCTCCTTCCATCCTCCATTCTCTTGGTATAACTAAAACCTAACAGTCCCTTAAAGACACACTAGCCCTACAACCCTTTTAATTAATAATTTATTCTCCCACCATCCTTGTACCACAGATTCTGCCTCATACAGATTAGACCATTCCCTCCATAAGCTCCACAAGCTGTGAGTCTCATATCTTCAGCTATCACTCACTTTTGTCAGGTTGTGTCCTCTAATTTTTAATGATTTCAGCTCCTGGCTCTTAAAGTTTAATACAAGACAAGTACTCTTGTCTTGATTTCAACATCTTTAACCTCCCCTCTTCTGATAAGCTAGCCCTCCCTCCTTACATTAGTCTCTCTTGCCCATGGTCATTATCTCTTATCACAACTCTTCCATCAACTATTTCATGCATTCTACTTGCTGACACAGCCTCCTATCCTTTCAGCTCATCCCCTGGTATTCTCAATCCATCAAGACTACTACTCTCTGATCCTCACACTTTTCACCCATCCTTGGCCTCCACCAAACCCCACCAATACATACTCTTCGCTTTTTTAACCAAGATTCAATTCTGTGATCAGCCATTACAATCCCTGCCCTACATCCACAGCCCCTTCCCTTCCCTCTTACTCATTTTGACTCATTCATTTGGTGAGGCAAAATCTACCCCTCATTAAATCAAGCTTTCCGACAATTCACCAAGGGCATCAAGCAGCTGAACATGGCTGGAAATAAATACATACTTGCTACTGTTTTCATTTGAAATTCAAAACCAAAAATTCAGATTGTTTAAAGATATATAAAGATATTATATACTGTATTTCTGGTCCATTTGCCCTCCTCCCCTCTTAGGATGCAATTCACATTTTCCTCTATCAAATTTCCAACACCTTCTCTGTTACTCTCATTTTCAACTGACATCACTTCCTAACTTCTCAGTGAAAAATGAAGCCATCAGAAGGGAACTTTTGTGAACTGGACCCATATGCCTGCTTGACATCTCCCCTCAGATGTCTGACATTCAAATTAACAGGTTCAAAATGGATTATCACTGGTTTACAGGAAGACAGATGTACTCTTCTTCCCTATTTCTCCCACTAAGAACCACTAAAACCTTTGAACATTATATACATATAATGAAAGAAGACTCTGAAAGGTGGAAAGAACAAGGCAGGACAGTTACAAGACTCAGAACCTAAGAAATGACATGGTAGTGACTTCCCCGGTACTATAGCTTGGATCTGTAATGTTCCCCAAAGGTCCATATGTTAAAGGCTTGGTGCCCAGCTTGGCAGTATTGAGAGGTGGTAGAAACTTTAAGACGTAGGACCTACTGGGAGGTCAGATCACTGGGAGCTCCCTTGAAGGGGAT